CACCAACCGCTGCAAGCGCGGTGTCGACAAATACTAGCGCACGAGCGTAACAAACACATTCCTCCAGAGCGATCAAGAATCACGCGTGCCATTCGGCCATGAAAGGAACTAGTCGTCCTCGAGAGCTTTCCATGGGACACTCTTCAGTTGCCCCAGTGGTTCCTGCAGCGAAAAGCATCAGAAAGCGATTTAGGATGAAGCGAGCCAGCCCTGGGGAAGAGGTCGTGAGGTCTGGGGACCCAGGGTTCAGCCACAAGTCGAGCCACCAGATTTCCTGCTCAGCCCGAGGGGCGCGAGGCTGGGTGACTTGGGATGTCTAGGACCAGAGATCTCTGCCCCACCTCACCGCCGCCACGTCTCGAGTCAGGGCGATCTGTGGTGAGCCCCATGGGCGACGGGCTCTCTTGGACCTGATCTAGGCCCTCTTGGGGCTCTCTTAAGCGATTTTGGGGCCACCTCGAGGACTCAGAGGTCCATCGGACGCGAACAGGCGAGAAACCCAGAGACATGGGAAACATTTGGTTTTTGATAGATTTTGGTATCTCGGCCCGCCGCCCAGAACACTTACAAGCAACATGCAAACTTATCGTTGCAGGACTTGACGGAAGCGCGATTTTCAGGGACACTCCCAACGACACTTCCAGGAAACGTTTCCGCAGCAGCAGCAGCAGCCCGCCGCGTCTGACACCCTGAAAGCGCGGGGGCCCACTTGCTCCAACGACACTTTCAGGTCCGTTGCTCCCTGGCAGGGCTTAGCAGCTGTTGAATCTCGGGGGTATCCTTAAGTCGGGCGTGTCCCTCTACAGGGTGAACATTTCAGAGTAGTCGAGCTTCAGTCCGGGGCCGATTTTTCGACTGCTTTTGACTATTTTGGAGCATTTTTGGGCTATTTTTTTATTCTTCGTCCGACATCCGCCCGGAGGAGGACACGCCCGACCTAAGGCTATCCCAGGGCGGGAGCACACGCCCCGGCCTCCTCACGGCGCCCCGGTCGGACCCCGCCGGTCTGCGAGGGTCCCGGGGCGCTGGGAGCCCTGGCAAGAGCGCCAGCGATCTGCGGCCACTTGCGAACCCGACCTCCACTCGGAGCAGGCGGGGTGTCGAGACGGTCTGAGGTGGCCCAGCATCGGTTCCAGCGAGCAGGAAGGGGGGCCAGTTCCAAGGTGCTGGCTTCGGCAAAAGGTTTCCTGTTTTTCTGTCTCCTGGGGCAGTGTGCGGGCCTCGGGGACCTTCAAAATCGGATCCGAGGTGAAAAACTGCGCCGGGTGGACGGACCCCGGGAAGGGTCCCGTGGGCAGATTTTGAGCGGATTTGGCCTCCTCCCCCTTCCTGATCGATCTTCTCGGGGCCCATCCGGCTCAGATCCCCTGGCCGCCTCCAGACCCCTGCAGGTCCAGCTGCCGCTGGGGCATGGGCATCGGACACCCCTTGAATGTTGGAAGGTAAGAGGTCAGAACCTTTGTTTTCGCTATCTCCATTCGCCTGGTGTTAGGCCGTCGGAGCCACCATCACCAACGCAGTTGAGGGTGACGTGCCTACGCGGGCGGCCCTGGCTTCTGCCAGTCCGACGCTAAAACCTGAGCATCATACAGCCCCCAACCCTAATGTCACAATGAACTTTTGGCTTAAATTAGGTCCACGCTGTTCACGGATATCCCTAAACGTATGGGCGGTTTCGTCTGATACATCTGCCAAACAGACTTCCCGTCCACCCGTTCTTGGCCCTCCTGACTTAGGCTTCCTGCCAGAGGTTTGGGGGTACTTCTGTTGCTTGTCACCTTCCCAGGGCGCTCCTTCCCCCCGGCTAGTTTTTTGGACGGCCCTGGATGGGGCCCGGTGAGTGCCCCCAGAGGCCGAAAGTGGGGAAACAGCCTTTGTGCCCGGCTTCTCATAGCGCGAGGAGTCCGACGATGTGGCTCGCTCAGCCGCTGGCGGCCACGCACGCCCAGGGATGAAGGAAGGCCGCTCGGACACCCTCACTCTGACTACGTGCTTCGGCGGCGGGCGAGGGGGAGGGCCTTCTCAGAAGGCTCGGAAGTTCCCCGGCCTTCCGAGAAGTTTTTAAGTCTCCCTCGGAGACAGAAACACAACTTATCAGAAGGTGCGAGGGCTTCTGAGAAGTCCCGCCGCCTTCTGAGAAGGCCTTCTCCTTCTCACTTCCCCCCCCTCGCTCACCGCCGAACGTTGCCACACCGGAGCTTTGGAACAGTATCGAGTCGGATTTCGGATCGGACCTCCTTTTCCGGCCTTCTGGCGCCCGGGCGCCGCACCCGCAGCACCCCAGACGCAGCCCCTTTGCAGGCGTGCTTCGTGCTCTGTGGGCCCACACACGTCGGTCGTTGGAAGTAGGTACAGTCAGCCCGCATGGTAAGGCCAGGATGGGCAACCTTCCCAAGGGTACCCGTGCATCCTTGCCCCTTCGGCCCATCCTTAGCGACTTTCGCTGGCCAATCTCGTTCGAACACCGTTAATGTTAACATGGGCCCCCAAGGCCCTTGCATCCTTATCGCGCATCCTTGTGATACGGGTTGACTATTTCTGGATTCCAAGATCCCAATCTGCTTTAGGCGCCTTCCTATTTCAAGAGTCGAGCGGTTTTCCCTTTCCTGTTCAGGGGGCGGGCGGAAGCCCAGTCTACTTCCAACGCCTTCCTACTTAATGTTTCTACCCACTTCTTCCGACCGATGGGTACTTGATGGCCCTGGGGCCCGAACAGGACCCCCTCGGGGGCCAGAATCGATGACGATCGCCAGGATGGAACGAATCAATCCGCAGGATGCCTCGGCGGAAGCGCCGGCTGCTCGTCAATCGTGTGGCGCTGCCATGCTTCCCCGGCGCAGCCGGCCCGATTCGACCTCGACTACGCAGCCAGATGCGACGCGCGGTCCGATTCGACCCGACTTCCCAATGGGATGCCGATGAATCCTGCCTTCGCCACGGTTCCTCGGCGCGTCGCCCTGAGAGGGCCCACCTCCGAATATGGTCGGACCTCAAGTCAAGTCAAGTCAATTACGCCTTGCACCAGACGGTGCGTGAGCAGGTGTGAAACGTAATGCAAATGCGCATGCAATGTAACCAGAATGCCTTCAGCATCCGGCCTTCACCGCGCGCTCCCACGCTCGTGCTGCACCACCGTCTTGGTGGAAGTAGGCAGCGAGTCGTTCGGGGGAGCTGGCAGCCTTGAGGCAATCATTTCACACTAGATGGTCCCATGTCTGCCTCGGTCTGCCCCTCTTTCTCGGGCCGGCGACCCTCCGCAGCTCCAGGGTGCCCGGTTCAAACCCCGAGCGGCGCACGGGATTTTTGGCCGGGTCGGCGCGCCAACTGGCCCATGAATCTCATCTGCCGTCTCGCGAGGCTGTCGCTGAGCTTCGGCAGGTCAGCAATCTCGAGCACGGTGGCGTTCGACACTCTGATGATGTATGCCCGGTTCTGACACAACGATTTTGGAAGCCGTCCAATCGTCGACGCGCGGCCTGGTTCAAACACGCAGCGACGAGATCGTACATTACTTTGGGCACAACGCATACGTTCAAGATATGGAGCTTGTCAATGAAGCGTGCGACCAAATCGTGTGCAGTACTTTGAAGTCTTGCTACTCCGATTCTACGTGACAGTTCCGACGCGCATCTTCCGTCGGCCAAGATCGACGTGCCCAAATAGACGATGAAATACTTGTTGGCGAGAGGAACGCCAGCGTTGTCCGAGATGCCGTCGATTGTGCGCACCTTCATCAGCTCCACCTTCTTCTAATTGAATTGCAGCCCGTAGTTTTCCCCGAACTTCTCCACGTTTGTCATCAGCTCCTGCACGGCGTCTGTGCTGGCGCCGATCAGCAACGTGTCATCAGCGTAGACCAGATCTCGGACCAGCTCTTCTGGAACTTGATCGCCTCGTCTCTCCCGAAGCTTTCTGTGAGCATCGTGTAGAAGCGTAGTCATAACAACGGTAAATAGGAATGGTGACAGTGGACATCCTTGGCAAATTCTGTACCCTTGCTTTCTCTCTTGCGACGTAGCGCCGAAGTCGGTGACCTCGGCAACACGGTTCTCGTAGATAGCAGCAACCATGTTTACCAAACGATGGGGGCAGCCAAATCTTCGCAGAGACACGGCCAGCGCCTCAGGCGACACGGAATCGAAGGCCTTGGCCCAGTCCAGCGCCAAAAACAGCATCTTCCCATCACGGGCGGCCCACGTCTCCTCCAGCACCCGCCAGACGATGAATATGGCATTTGCGGTGCCGCAATTCGATCGAAATCCGAATTGTGTCTCCCAGATGCGCAGTTCAGCTCCAGCGTCCTTCATCCTCTGCAAAAGTACGAGTGCGAACATCTTGTATCTTGTCGGCAGAAGGCGTATCGGGTGATAGTTATTGCTGTCCGCGCGGTCCCCCTTCTTGTAGATCATTTTCATCTTTGCCTTGTGCCATGCATCAGGGACGCGCCCCGTCTCCCATACCACGTTGCAGAAACGAGTGATCCACTCGAGCGTCGTGGTGCCGTCTTCGGCGGCCGCTCTCCAGAATTCTTGGGGTAAGTTGTCCAAGCCTCCAGCTCTGCCCTGCTTGAGTCTGCCCGCTGCTTTCCTTATACTTCTTCCTGCGTGATCGGGTCGAGGACGGCAGCTCGTCGTTATACATATTATCGGTTGGCATCGCCGTCGTCGGTCTCACTGCCCACTGCACCCGCTCGAGGTGCACCGCCAAAGGATCAGCCTCGCTCTCGCTATCCACGACTTGTCCCCGCATCGTTTTTGAGTCTCCCCTGTTGCGGGCAAAACCCTTTCTGGAGCTTTCTGATCTCGCCCCAGTCTCTGTTCACTGTTAGCTCCTGCAGCCAGGCGGCCCGGTCCTTGGCGACAGCTGTTTTGATATGTTTCGTTGGCTTCTTCTTCTGCTGTGTCTCCCATCTGTCGAGCTGCCGCTCGGCGGTCTATCAGGTGCAAGGTTGAACGTCGCGTCCAAGGTTTCCTCGGGCGTCGCGTCTGCCGCGGCAGGACCTGCTCCGAGGTTTTGTGGAATGCGTTTACGAGCTGGCACCAGGCTAGCTTCACGTCGTCATGATCAGGCGTCCCGTCGGCGGCGAAAGCCTCAAGCACGTTGGCAAGCTTGTCAGTGAATCGCTGCCGGGTTTTGATGTCAGCCAGCTGCGACACGTCTACCTTAGCATTGCCGGTGCTCGAACGCGGCTTCTCCACCGTCGCGTGGACACGTTCCTGGAGCAAGACATTGTGAGATGAGAGCGGCATGACCCGACGCACGGTCACATTGAGCACGTTATGCAGCCAGTTCTGTGCACACAACATGAAATCTATCCAGGAGTGCGTGCGCCAGCCCATTGGTTCGCCGAAAAGGCACCTCACGGTGTAGTTCGTGGCCAAATCCTGCCGTGAAGCTGAGAAGAACGTGTCGGACAAACACATTTTCAGCTGCGTGCACATCTCCACCAATAGGTGTCGATTCGCGTCAGCACGACACATTCTCCAAATAGGCTTGCCCTGTAGGAGTTCTAACTCAAACCCTACTAATTGTTCCGTTGCCCCCCCTCCCCAATTCCTATGCCCCCCCTAATTCCTAATTCTTATGGCTGTGTCTATGCCTATACCTATGCCTCCCCCCTAACTCCTATGCCTACGCCTAACTCCTATGCCTACGCCTATGCCTATGCCTATGCCTATGCCTATGCCTATGCCTATGCCTATGCCTATGCCTATGCCTATGCACCATCTCTGAGCGCTCCTATGCCTATGCTAGCTTGCGTGCTTGCTTGCTTGCTTTGCCTATGCCTATTCCTATGTCTATCCCCATGCCTATGTCTATTCACCACCTCTGAGCGCTCCTATGCCTATGCTTGCTCGCTTGCGTGCTTGCTTGCTTGCTTGCTTGCTTTCTTGCGCGCTTGCTTGCACAGTTGCGAATTCCAAGCATGCTTGCTTCCTTTGATTCCTTGATTTGAGTCGTATGATCTCTTTGGAGTCAACGCTGGCTGATATTTATCCAGGGTTTTGGAACACGTGCGGGCCAATAGTCCCGGCTTCGTCGCCGAATCTATCATACAATTTGGCATTGAAATCCCCCATAATCAACTTCGGGCCATGCGAAGACTGAGTCTGACAAATTCGCCAAGATCATGGTAAAGCCCCTGCCGCTCTGGATATTCAAACCCACTGTGGAGCGTAAACCGAAAAAATCACCGCCTTGCCCCCAGATGCGCGTAATTTCAATGAGGACATTCGCTCAGAGAACTGGCAACATCCAACAACTGACTGTCTGAAGACGCGGTCAATTATGAATCCCACTCCTGCCCTATCCTCCCCTTCCGCCTCGCCAGCGCCACCAGACAGCACGACGAGGTACCCGGTCTCACGAGCGTGCCTGACCTGGGCCTCCAAGTTTCTTGAATGCACAAAACTTTGATGCCGCAGCGTTGCATCATGACCTCTAGTTGTACTTGTTTGGATTCGGAGTATCCTTCTATATTCCAGGACGCAATCGTGCATCCTTCGTTTCGCACAGGTCGCAAACAACGGCCTCGTATAACATGCAATGGCAAAATGGCTTCGCCATTCCGTTGCCCTGGGTCGGATCGGCGGCGAATTCCGAACCATATCTTCGCCGATCACCGATTCTGGCAGCTCGATGGGCGGCGGGGGAAATTGGGGTTCGGCATTCGTCGAACACTAGGGGAAATCAGAGCCCGACCCCCGCCTCCTGTCGACTGAGAAAAATCGGTTTGGTGTGGGTAGGGCTCGGATGTCGCCACCCATCTCTGGTGGAGGGTTTCTCCGAAGGGCTTAGGCGACCCGTCCTCCTCCTCCTCCTCCTCCTCCTCGCTTCCTCCTCCTCCTCGCTTCCTCCTCCTCCTCCTCCTCCTCCTCCTCCTCCTCGCTTCCTCCTCCTCCTCCTCCTCCTCCTCCTCCTCCTCCTCCCCCTCCCCCTCCCCTTCCTCCTCCTCCTGCACCTCCTCGTCCTCCTCCTCCTCCTACTCCTCCTCCTCCTCCTCCTCCTCCTCCTCCTCCTCCTCCTCCTCCTCGGGTCGCCTACGGCCCCCGGTTGAAACCGTACAATTTCGCGAGGTTTGAGTTCACCCCAGCCAAGGGCCACGCGGTTTCCAGGTCGTCCCTCGGGCCTCGGGTTGCCGCTCGGGACGAGCTCCAGCGCCCCACGGGACGCCCTCGACAAGGCGCAGGTGCTCCTCTTCCTGCTCCTCCCCCTCCTCCTCCTCCCCCCCTCCTCCTCCTCCTCTCCTCCTCTCCTCCTCCTCCTCCTTCTCCTCCTCCTCCTCCTGATAGCATTTCGAGGCAAGGAGACCTCCCAGGGTGGGGCCGTCTGGGATTCTGAGGTGGCCCAGCCCTGGTTCCGGCCAGCAGGAAGGGCGGGCAGGTTCTAGGTTCTTCGGGGGCGGAAAAGAGGGAGGTGATGACTAGGGGGGGTGGATATCATGGCGTGGGCCATGATATTTCCTCAGATTTCATGGCGCCTCTTCTTATTTCATTACGTCCCTGGCCCCGCTGGGCCGCGCACATGCCGCCGGTCATGATTTGCACCCCCCCTCTCGGACACCCCCCTCTTGGCCGCTCCCGAGTTCTAGGTTCGGGCAGATTTTTTTGTTTTCTGTTGTTTTCGTTTTTTCGGCCTCTTGTTTTCGTTTTTTCCGGCCTCCAGGGGCCGGCCGTCTGCGGGAAAAGCGGATCGGGGGTGAAACCATGCACCATATGGACGCCTGGAGCGGTCCGGGGACCGATTTTGAGCGGATTTGCCCTCATCCCCCCTGCTGACCGACGTTGCTGGGATCCCGACCAGTTCAGCCCCCCCAGCCGCCTCCGACTCCTAGACTCCCCACCCCAAGGCACGAGAAATGCCGGAATCAAACAAAATTAGATCGCCAGATTTTTTCGCGGACCCTGAGATCCGACGTCACGAAAAAGTCAGAGCATCGTCACAAAGAATCGACTGGAGCCCTAGGCCCCGTCTTTCCGCAGCGTCCATCGGGGCTCGAAACCGGGCGAAAACGCTTGGCGTGAACAAAAAAGCAACGCCCAAATCTCAGGGGTCGTCTGGCTTTTCCTCAACTGTCTGGCGTTTTTCGTATCCGGCGAATCTAGCAGGGCACGAGCGCTCAACTTGCCAGAGAGAGTCGGGCTCCTTGGTCGGAGCGACCTGGCCCCAGAGGCACACGGGTCTGCCCGGTGGGGAACAGTCCATTGGCATGCGCATTAGCGGGACGCAGATGCGCACCGCTGGCGCGCGCCCGCCAGGCGTCTTCCTTCTCCTCCAGGGGGGAGGGGGGGAGGGAGGAGGAGGAGCCGAGAAAGAGGAGGGAGGGAGGGAGGGAGGGAGGGAGGAGAAGGACGACGACGACGCTGGCGCGAAAAATCCACTGGCAGTCTCAGGGGTCGGAGACCTGCGCAGAGGCCCACCGCTGGCGCGCGCCCCCCAGGCGCCGCGGCCCTCGTCGCCGCGGCCGGCGGGGCCAGCCGCGCCCTGCGCCGCCGCCGCCGCGCCGCCGCCGCCGCGGGGCCAGAGCTCGGATCTGGGGGCCTCCGCCGCCTGCCGTGGCTGGGCTGACGACCCTCGGGGGCAACGGCAGTCGCAGGAGAGCCGCGCGAGGCAACGGCGGTGAGAAAAAACGGCGGCCCAAGTCCACTCCAGATCGGTCCCCGCACCTCTCTCGGGATCGAAGCGCACCCGTTATCCCAGCTGCGTCCAGACCGTGGCGATCTTTTGGGGCCCCCGAGGGCCCAAAAGGGGACCCTGCTAGTCTCAACGAGCCCTCCTCCGAGACAGGGGAGGAGGCAGTTGATCAATGGCAGCTTCTGGTTGAACAGTTGGACGATTGAGCATTGGCAGCGCATGGGTCATAAGTTCAGCGGCAGCATCAGCATCTGAGGGCCGCGGCCCTTCCCGCCCTCCCCTCCTGGGATGGGCTCCGGCGCGGTGGAATCGGCTCGTTCGTTTGTTCGACAGGCAACGAGGAGGAGGAGGAGGAGGAGGAGGAGGAGGAGGAGGAGGAGGAGGAGGAGGAGGTGGTGGACCAGTGTAAACCCACAACTCATCCAACGATGTTGCAATAAGCCCTCCCTCCAAGTTCCCTCTTCATGAGTCCCAGACACAGGTTTCTTTTCACTGATGGAAGTGTCTCGTTGGATGACAGCCGTCTGGTAATCCCGAACCGTGCCAGAAAACCATTCCTGGAGATTCGACGTCGCGAATCAACGTCACTGTTGCGTCCTGACGCTCTTGAATCGTGCCGGAACACCGTTACTGGAATTCTGTCACCGCGAATCTACGTGACTGTTGCGCCTTGACAGTCCTACATCGTGCCGGAGCACCAGTATTGGGACGATAACATAAGAATCCTTGAAACTGCTGTAAACTATTAAAACGGATGTGCGCGGGGCTCAGGCGATAACTACACTTTTGAAAAAGACATCGCCGTTCATCCGTCTAGCTCCTCAAACCTTTAAGACGGATGTGCGCGGTGCTCAGGCGAGAACCACACTTAAAAAATGGCCCGCCCTCCATCCGTGAAGCTCTTACAAACTTTAAAGTTGACTATGTGCAGCGCCCAAGCGAGAGCCACATCTTGAAAACAACCCGCCGTCCATCCGTTAAACAGTTTCAAATTTCACAATTTTCAAGCTGAGAGTCATAAGATGTAATGTGGTCTCAGGCGTAACGCCCGGCCCACCCAACCGACGCGTTTCGTGGTGCGAGAGGGAGGAATTCATTTGGAAGGAAAATGGCTGGAGAAGGAGGACGATGAAGATGAGGAAGTTTTTTTTTTTTTTTTTTTTTTTTTTTTTTTTGTTTTTTTTGTTTTTTCTTCCATATTTTCCAAACAGTGGTTGCACCAGGGGGGTTCTTAATTGCTGACGAACTGGGCTGGTGTGCCGCTCTGGCGGCTATGCGGCCGCCGTCGCCGCACCGTCGCCGCCTCGCCGCCGCCCGTTGTCTGGGCCGGTGTGGCGCTCTGGCGGCTATGTGGACGCCGTCGCCGCCCTGTCGTCGCCTCGTCGCCGCGTGTTGTCTGGGTCGGTGAGCCGCCCTGACGGCTATGTGGCCGCCGTCGCCGCCCTGTCGCCGCCTCGTCGCCGTACGTCGTCTGGGCCGGTGTTCCGCTCTGACGGTTAAGTCGCCGCCGTCGCCGACGTGTCGCGGCCTCGTCGCCTTCTAAACGAGTAGTAGGATTCCCCCCCCCGGATTTAACCGCCCCCTTTTCCCGTACTGCAATTTGCACCCGATTCTGCCCCATTGTCCGTCCTAAATCTGAGTTCATGTGATGCCAGCCAAACCGGTAACGGTACCTTGTCTAATGTTTTGCAACAGTATGTATGCGCGCGCACTTGTTTATCAAAAGTTAAGAAGTTGTCTACAACCCCTG